TGGGCCGGGGAGATCTCCCTCCGCCCGGCCGGCTGGGCTGTAGAAATAAATAGTCCTGGAGGGGGTGGACCTGCGGCGGCGGTGGCCGGGGCTCGTCTCTTTTTCTGATCTTTTAAAGGCAAGTTTCAGGGGGTTGTGAAGTGCCTGAAGCAAACACACACACACAACTTAGCCATCCACGCCGTGCCAATGAGATTTCGGAATTTATTGCTGGGAAGAGTCTAGAAAAAGTGAACTTCTGTTCTTTACCCAGATCCTGGGGACTCTAGGAAGCCTGCCCCCCCCCAGTTGTAGTGGTGGGGGGGCGTGTGGAATGGGAGTCATGGAGAGGATGGAAGGGGCCCGAGGGGGTGGCGGTGGTGGCTTTGCGGGTTCTCTGGGAAAGCAATGTCGGGGCAGGTGTAGGGGACTCCACCACCTGATAGAAATGCCCACACACACACCCCAATTGACATGCCCAGGAAGCTGTTGTTCGTTGTGTGCAGTAATTCTGCTCTGGGGAGCTCAGAGCCCCACTGCAGGCTTTGGTTCTTAACTCTTCCACAAGCTCTTAGGCGGGAATAGAAAAGAATTTCACACCATCTGGGATTGTCAGTACAGAAGCGTGATCTGACATGTTTAAAATTCCCGCCTTTCTAGACCGAAATACAAAGAGAATCAAGGGATGGGACACCCTTCCCAGCACCCAAAGGGGAGAAAAGAAGAAAAAATGGGGAAAGTCTGTGGATTCGTGTGATGGGTGTGTCTGTGGGGTCCCACTCAAAAGAGAGGGAGCTGGTGGTCCCTGGCCTAGGGTAAGAGCAGAGGGAAAGTTCCATTCAATGAAGCAAGACGTTAAGCAAGAAGTTCTAAATCTTTTTTGGTCATTGTCTCCTTTGAGATTATATTAGAAAGCTCAGAGTTCTTTGCCCAGGAAACAAATATGGGACAGATAAAATTGTATCTCTTTGGCTGGGTGCCAGTGGCCCAGGAGGCTGAGATCTCTGAGGATCGAGGTTCAAAGCCAGCCTGGGCAGGAAAGTCCGTGAGATTCTTATTTCCAATAAACTACTAAGAAAAAGTGGGAAGTGGTGCTGTGGCTCAAGTGGTAGAGTGCTAGCCGTGTGTGTGTGTGTGTGTGTATGTGTGTGTGTGTTGTGTGTTCACATATATCTTGGAAGAATATATACATATATGTATAGGAGTTTTGAGACTCCTTGGAGGTGATAAGTGATTATTTAGTTTTCTCCCTTTCTTTAAAACTAGATTTAAAAACTCTAAAGCTGTCTGTCTGATGTTTCTAGAGAAACTATACTATTTAGTGCCCCCAGATGAAATCCAGCTTTTTTACAATGCCCTGTGAAATGTTACTCTAATGGCCACGAAGCTGATCACTGTACTAGTTAAAGAACACTTAGGGTTATTCATGCCTTGGTGTATAAATGAGATTTTATTATCCTTAAATTTTGATGAAACCATTGAAGTTACCGTCTCAAGGAGCAAATCCCTAGGGAGAACATTAGTAACTTGGGGTTTTTCAATTGGAGTCTGAACATAAATTCCATTTCTGAAGAGAATATTTTTTATATTGTTAAGGAAATATTTTAAAGTAATATTTAAACATGAGTCCTTTTCCCTTGATCCTTTGTATCTGGCTTTATGAGTGAACTGATTTACAGAGGACATAAGCCAGCCTCTCCTACTAACTTTTAATGACAACCAAAAAAAAAATCACATTTAAAATTTTTTTCTGGTGTCCTTATCATTAAGGTGATGTACAGAGGGGTTACAGTTATG